GTGCTGGTGGATGCGTTCCTCCACCGAAGCGCTGGGATCGGGCGTGCCTGCTGACTCCATAACGGGTGCGTGATTCTGTCAGCGTCTGGGTGCAGTGGGGAAACGGAATCAGGCGCAGGACACAGAACTGAGAATAAATGGCTTTACTCGACTCCAAGTAAATATAGCAAACCCTCCAGGAAGAGCAAAAACAACAGCTCAACAGATGACGTAACAAGAACAATCACACACACACTCAGGAGGGAAAACAGAGGTAATATAGGGAAGCTAATAAGCCTAATGAGTAACAGGTGTGAACAATACAGACAGAACTAGTGAGACACAGAAACATCGATCGGTGGCAGCTAGTACTCCGGTGACGACGACCGCCGAAGCCTGCCCGAACGAGGAGGAGGGGCAGCCTCGGCCGTATCCGTGACACACGTACTCTTCCTCCTCTGCCTCTCAGATTGTTTCCATCCATTGTTGGTATCAACATTCAACGCACCTGTGCCACCTGTGCACTCTGAACTGGCTTATATTCTGTACAATTAGTTTGATCACATCATTAGAAACTGTGTGTGAACAAAGTGTGAACAATTTGGAGTCGTTGTGTGTAAACGATGACAACTGTGTTGTTGTTGTGTTTAACTTTTGCCGCCTGTGTTTACCATTTTCTAACACAAGTGCATCACAGTCCGAAATGTGTTTTAGTGAGTGAGAATGTGTTTAGAGTTTTGCAAAAAGACTGATTGATTCGACAAATGGGTTTAGGCCACTGAGCATTTGGTTCAGAGAATGGGGTTTAGTGTTTTAGCAATTCAGAAAAACTGTAATACAGGTTACAATAGGCAGGGCTGAACTTACAGTGCTTTCAGAAAGTATTCATAGCCCTTGACTTTTTCCACATGTTGTTGTACTACAGCTTGAATTTTAAATTGATTAAATGTAGATTTTTTGGTCACTGGCCTGCACACAATACCCCATAATGTCAAAGTGGAATTATGTTTTTGAAATTCTTTACAAATTAATGACAAATGAAAAGCTGAAATATCTTGAGTCAATAAGTATTCAACCCCTTTGTTTTGGCAAGCCTACATAAGTTCAGGAGTCAAAATGTGCTTAACAAGTCACATAATAAGTTGCATGGACTCACTCTGTGTGCAATAATAATGTTTAATATGATTTTTGAATGACTACCTCATCTCTGTACCCCACACATACAATTATTTGTAAGGTCCCTCAGTCAAGCAGTGAATTTCAAACACAGATTAATCCACAAAGACCAGGGAGGTTTTCCAATGCCTCGCAAAGAAGGACACCTATTGGTAGATGGGTAAAAATAACAAAAGCAGACATTAAATATTCCTTTGAGCATGGTGAAGTTATTAATTACACTTTGGATGGTGTATCAATACATCCAGTCACTACAAAGATACAGGCGTCCTTCCTAACTCAATTTCACCATGAGGTCAATAGTGACTTTAAAACAGTTATAGAGGTTAATGACAGTGATAGGAGAAAACTGAGGATGGATCAACAACATTGTAGTTACTCCACAATACTAACCTAATTGACAGAGTGAAAATAAAAATATTCCAAAACATACCTATTACATAAAGTAATACTGCTAAAACAAATGTCCTGAATACAAAGTGTTATGTTTGGGGCAAATCAATACAACACATTACTGAGTACCACTCCATATTTTCAAGCAAAGTGGTGGCTGCATCATGTTATGAGTATGCTTGTAATCGTTAAGTACTGGGGAGTTCTTCAGGATAAAAAACAAATGGAATGGAGCTAAGCACAGGCAAAATCCTAGTAGAAAAGTTGGTTCAGTCTGCTTTCTAACAGACACTGGGAGATTAAATCAGGATAATAAACTAAAACACAAGGCCAAATCTACACTGGAGGTTCTTACCAGAAGACAGTGAATGTTCCTGAGTGGCCGACTTACAGTTTTGACTTAAATCTACTTGACAATCTATGGCAAGACCTGAAAATGGTTGTCTAGCAATGATAAACAACCAATTTTACAGAGCTTTAAGAATTTTGAAAAGAATAATGGGCAAATGTTGCACAATCCAGGTGTGGAAAGCTCTTAGAGACTTACCCAGAAAGACTCACAGATGTAATCGCCGCCAAAGGTGCTTCTACAACGTATTGACTCAGGGGTGTGAATACTTATGTAAATGAGATATTTCTGTATTTAATTTTCAATAAATTAGCAACATTTTCTAAAAACATGTTTTCACTTTGTTAATATGGGGTATTGTGTGTACATGGCTGAGAAAATACATATGATTTATTCCATTTTGAATTCGGGGGGGGGGGGGGGGGGGGGATAGTTTTAAGAATAGTTTTAGATGGGCATACCATGGATCATTTAGCTATTATATTTTTTAATTTAAGGACCTGTAGGTATAAAATAAGTATATATAAAAAAAGGTTTTATAAAATATTGAATTTAACGTTTACTATTATAGCCCATAGAAACGCATTGAATAACACATTAATAAATGGCAAAACAAACAGTCAAAGAATAAATCATAACGAATAAGGTTTTGAAGTGTATGTCCTATATCTAGAAAATGTAAGAAAGCTCAGGAAATATACAGAGGGGAGAACAAGTATTTGATACACTGCCGATTTTGCAGGTTTTCCTACTTACAAAGCATGTAGAGGTCTGTAATTTTTATCATAGGTACACTTCAACTGTGAGAGACAGAATCTAAAACAAAAATCCAGAAAAACACATTGTATGATTTTTAAGTAATTAATTTGCATTTTATTGCATGACATAAGTATTTGATCACCTACCAACCAGTAAGAATTCCGGCTCTCACAGACCTGTTAGTTTTTCTTTAAGAAGCCCTCCTGTTCTCCACTCATTACCTGTATTAACTGCACCTGTTTGAACTCGTTACCTGTATAAAAGACACCTGTCCACAAACTCAATCAAACAGACTCCAACCTCTCCACAATGGCCAAGACCAGAGAGCTGTGTAAAGACATCAGGGATACAATTATAGACCTGCACAAGGCTGGGATGGGCTACAGGACAATAGGCAAGCAGCTTGGTGAGAAGGTAACAACTGTTGGCGCAATTATTAGAAAATGGAAAAAGTTCAAGATGACGGTCAATCACCCTCGGTCTGGGGCACCATGCAAGATCTCACCTCGTGGGGCATCAATGATCATGAGGAAGGTGAGGGATCAGCCCAGAACTACACGGCAGGACCTGGTCAATGACCTGAAGAGAGCTGGGACCACAGTCTCAAAGAAAACCATTAGTAACACACTATGCCATCATGGATTAAAATCCTGCAGCGCACGCAAGGTCCCCCTGCTCAAGCCAGCGCATGTCCAGGCCCGTCTGAAGTTTGCCAATGACCATCTGGATGATCCAGAGGAGGAATGGGAGAAGGTCATGTGGTCTGATGAGACAAAAATAGAGCTTTTTGGTCTAAACTCCACTCGCCGTGTTTGGAGGAAGAAGAAGGATGAGTACAACCCCAAGAACACCATCCCAACCGTGAAGCATGGAGGTGGAAACATCATTCTTTGGGGATGCTTTTCTGCAAAGTTGACAGGACGACTGCACCGTATTGAGGGGAGGATGGATGGGGCCATGTATCGCGAGATCTTGGCCAACAACCTTCTTCCCTCAGTAAGAGCATTGAAGATGGGTCGTGGCTGGGTCTTCCAGCATGACAACGACCCGAAACACACAGCCAGGGCAACTAAGGAGTGGCTCCGTAAGAAGCATCTCAAGGTCCTGGAGTGGCCTAGCCAGTCTCCAGACCTGAACCCAATGGAAAATCTTTGGAGGGAGCTGAAAGTCCGTATTGCCCAGCGACAGCCCCGAAACCTGTAGGATCTGGAGAAGGTCTGTATGGAAGAGTGGGCCAAAATCCCTGCTGCAGTGTGTGCAAACCTGGTCAAGACCTACAGGAAACATATGATCTCTGTAATTGCAAACAAAGGTTTCTGTACCAAATATTAAGTTCTGCTTTTCTGATGTATCAAATACTTATGTCATGCAATAAAATGCAAATTAATTACTTAAAAATCATACAATGTGATTTTCTGGATTTTTGTTTTAGATTCCGTCTCTCACAGTTGAAGTGTACCTATGATAAAAATGACAGACCTCTACATGCTTTGTAAGTAGGAAAACCTGCAAAATCGGCAGTGTATCAAATACTTGTTCTCCCCACTGTATATATTTTTTGGACACATATTTAACCCCTTTCTTTGTTGGCACAAAACTATCTCCATACTAATTGTTTTAACTGGTCCCGGGTGACATTCAGACTAGTCCTGTGACACTTGTGGGGATCGTAGAGAAAAACGGAGAACACCATCGTGTTCGTGGGAGTCTAATCTTTCCCATAGAGTGGTCATATTAGTTTTCCAAACCTTTCGGACGCTACAGACGTTTTCGTGAGAAGCCAGATTTTTGGGCTGTCTCATGGTCTGACAAACACTGCTGTAGCTAGGCTACCTTCCACCGCAGATGCAGAAGGCCGACATAGGCAGATGCAAAAAAACGGAGATCTTTAGCTTAAACTGACTATTTGTATACATTTCATACACAGTGTTCACTATTATCTCCATAGCCGAATGAGCGACAAAGTGCAAGTACAACACATAAAAAGTACAGGATCCCTGCTGGAAGATACTGATTGGAACTACTTTCTTTCCCCACAGACCACAGCGTAAAAGGCCACGAAATCCCCAACAAAACACAAAATCTTGTCTGTGAAAGATCATTATTTTGCACAGAAAAATGCTCTTATGTCCAAGACAACCACAGTGGGATAAAACAAACAAGTGTATTGATTTGACATCCTTAAAAAAAAAAATCCTACTTGGAATCACGTTTGCTCCAGATCTAGCTTGGAGACAATACATATCACCAATTTAGGTGCTGCGGTCTAGGCTCTCCTATTGTTGGACCATCCTGGTTCTTCCTCTATTTATAGTTCTCACTCTCTCTCTCTCTCGATGAGAACAGTGGGATGACGCAGAGAGGGGGTCAGAAGTTTTTTTAAACACCACACGCCCCTAACAATAAAGGCTGGGGCAGGTGTTGCTTCTATCCTTTGTCCTGTGTCTGAGGCGTTTGTGGGAGCGTCAGTGTGTTCCAGTGACTGAGACAGAGACAAAGACAGGCCAGCAGCCATGGATGATGTATACAAAGCAGCGGTGAGTACAGACACAGGGACAAAACCTGCAGGGTGGGGGTTAGTTGACACAGGGGGATGCTAGATCATTTTAGTCTGGAATAATAGACAGTCTTTTTCACTGCACATTCACACTACAGTTAGAATCGATTGACTGAGGTCAGCTAGGAGTCTTCATCTGATATACTAGGGAGGAAGGAGGGACACATGATCTCAATCTTCATTCATTGGCGTACCTGGGTGTACTGTGGCTGAGTGAAAAACAAGGCACTGTTATGAAATCACATGCCTTTTCTTTGGCGGTTTGTTGGCCCAGGTTGTGGATGGTGGTATATCTGTTGAGGTCAACATGAATATATAAAAACAACAGCCCGTCATGACTGTGGTGTTTTGGTTAACACATTTCACACAATGGCTATATGCTCCAGCTCACATTATATTACAGTACACACTCTCTGGACACGAGCCAGAAGTGAATAGAGGTTAATGGGCCCTGAGGAAAGCCATCTCTAGCTGTTCAACTGAATTAGACATTGATGACGTCAAAAAGCCCTAATCCGCTTCCAAGAGATGTGAGAAGCGAGAAATGGTTTTGCCAGTCAACCTCAATTCAAGATATATTTCACGAGAGCTACCGAGTTGTAAATTATGATTTCAGTATACCCAAGGTACCTTTGACAAACCAAATGCTCGTAAAAGGAAAGGGATTGGTAGTCACATAGACATGTTACCACCTTGGCGTTGATTGGTCAAAAGTAAGTGCAGTAATATTGAGTGTCAAGACCCAACTAAACATGGTCATACGATGGGAAAGCATGTGAAAATGTCATTCAACACCATCTTTTTATAGAGGAGAGTAATCGAGAAGGGCCAGCAGAGCTTTTCTGAATGTGTTGACCATTATTGTCCCTCTGAGAATAGGACAATGTCTTTCTAAGATAAGAGTTCACAGTGTATGAATAAATTATCTCACCAAAAGAGTTGTAAAGTCAATGGAAATTCAACATTGTATCTTTTGAATAAACAACTTACAAGTGCCAAGATTCACCAAGGTTAAACACAAAGTTAGTCACATTCTATGAGGCCAGCTATTCTGAAAAGGTCATTTCAATTTGAACTGCACAACAAAAAGCTCATTGCCATGGCATGACATTATGACCATTTGAGCTCAGCATGATCTTTTCTGAGTACCCAGATGACATACTGTGAGGTTAGATGGGATTTCTGCCATTTCTCTGCCTGACAATATAGAACAAAGGACAGTTAGGAAGAAGAACAGAGTAGACAGCTGTCGGCTCAAACAAATGTCTGTCAGCAGAATCTGTGCCAGAGCCCCCCTCGCCACAATACAAGAATAGTAAGTGAAGAAAGCAGCGTGACATTTTAGTCAGACTGCACCAGGGGTAGGGGGCTGTGCTCGACAGGTTTTGGGCTGAGTTCAACGAGAGGGAGAAGGGGCTGGGGTACTGATGGAATATATGACACACTGCAAGGCCTCGGGGCTGACTGCAAACCAAGGTGAAGAGAGACAATGGGGAAATGGCCACCAAGGGCCTCCAGTGTGGTCCAACTATGAGTCGACAATTTGTCAAACATAAATGTAAACGAGGCAAACCAATCTGCATAATTTAGGCACATAAAGTAGACTAAGATTAGTTCAAAAGCACTATACCCTGTCTGTCAATGTGAGTAAATTGCATACAGTATGTAACTTTCCCTACTGTTCCCTTCAGGTTGAGAACTTAACAGAAGAGCAGAAAAATGGTGAGTCTTGGTTTTTGGACACAATAATTGCTCTTACAAACCATTTCTTCTTTACTTTTGCACCATTCATGTCTATGGAGAAGCACTAGTAATACCCATAAGCTCCATTTAAACCGCTTCTCACCACTATTTCCCTACAGAGTTTAAGGCAGCCTTTGACATTGCATGTCAGGGTGCGGAGGACGGCTGCATCAGCACCAAGGAGTTGGGGAAAGTGATGAGGATGCTGGGGCAGAACCCCACCCCTGAGGAGCTGCAGGAGATGATAGATGAGGTGGATGAGGATGGTGCGTCACCATGGATACAAACGTATCAACACTCAATACTACACAATACTACATCCCCTTCACTTCAATATGAATTAACCTCAGGCAAAGTCATTAGGTCAGGTAGCCTGAGGGGTGGTTCATACATAGTTTTCAGACTGGTCTGAAATGTTAATTCCGAAGTCATCACATTACTATGTTTCAGCATTAAGACACCATGTTACAGCTGGTGTGTGTGTGTGTGTGTGTGTGTGTGTGTGTGTGCGTACGTGCGTGCTTGTGTATGTGTGTGTGTGTGTGTGTGTGTTGGGGGGGGGGGGGTTACAGGCAGCGGGACAGTAGACTTTGATGAGTTCCTAGTGATGATGGTGCGCTGCATGAAGGAGGAGAGCAAAGGAAAATCAGAGGAAGAGTTGGCCGAACTTTTCCGCATGTTCGACAAGTAAGGCTAATATCAAGCAAAGTGGCTGCCAAAAAACATTTGTGCTTACTCTGACAAGAAAATATAAAGACAAAAATATAGAAAACAAAAAAAGTAATGTAAATGTTATCAGGGATATGTGTACTCATTGATGCTGCTTACAGAAACGGAGATGGCTACATTGATTTGGAGGAGCTGAAAAGCATGCTGGAGTCGACTGGAGAGGCCATCACTGAGGATGACATTGAAGAACTCATGAAGGATGGAGACAAAAATAATGACGGAAAGATTGATTATGATGGTAAGACAATAATTTTAGCCAAAAGATCAGGCTGGCACTTCCAGAATGTGTAATTGTTTGTTTTTTGGTCAGCTACATGTACCAATGACACTCGTCTAGGCAATCCATTCAAAACCTTTCACAGTTCAAATCCGGGCAGTCAATAAGAAATGATCCATCATGAGCTGTGGGTGTCATTCTGTTCCACAGAGTTCCTGGAATTCATGAAGGGGGTTGAGTAAAGGACTCAAAAGACTCATGGACTCTCAGCCCAGGGAAATACTCATACCTCCTCTTAGCTCAGACCTTCACATTATGCCTGAACACGTTGGACAACATTTAAATAAAAACCTCTTTCTGCTTGGCTGAATCTACCACTAAACACGTGTTATATCCTCAATGTGTATCGGCCTTGGTTGACATCTTGTATGTGGTCTAGTTTTTATCCATAGCATTATTAAGGGACCTTAAAGACAAAAGATATTGTTATGTCCTTGAAGTGAATTTCTGAACTACAAATTGATTAAACCCCCCATAATCCTATAATATTTTATTTAAAATGTTAACCTAGGGGAGGAAACACTCTTCTCCACAATACTGTATATTTTCAATAAAGAAAGATTTTCAGTAATCCAGATGAAAGTCTTCAATTCAATGAAATTGATATCAGCAGGATTGCTTTTCACCATTGTATTGTATGTTATTGTATTGAATTGAATTGCATTGCATTGTAGAACAAAGGAATAGCACAATGGGTCGTTGCTGTATAAAGGACACAATGTAGGCCTGGTGAGGCTCTTGAGATGAGTGAGAAATTCCAAGATTTGCAGGGGTTAACACCAGGCATCACTTCATCATTTTGTGAAACACACAGATTGAATATCTCACATCATGATCCCATTCATATTTCATAATTAGATATATATTATGGAAAATGTTAAAGTATCTTCATTTCTTAGGTGGGTTTTACAGGACAGAGCCAATGTGAAGAAGTCTAAATTACAGCCGGCATCTGAGAGCGCGTCTGCTGCAGAAGCTTGTTTCAACCAATGGAAATGTATCGATTCATGTGTGTTTTTTTGCACAATTATGTTTATATACGTCACTGGTTTTGTGCGTAGAAATATGACTTAGGCAACATCAGATTTGCCAGTTAAAAGATTAGCTATGTAGCTAGCTAAAGAAATCATTACATCTTGTTCTCTAAATGTTACCCTTCGTAATAGCGTTGGACTAATGGCAGCAACCTAGGTTAAAAAAAATCATGACTACCTGGTCCGATCAAATGCTCCAGGTGCTTCGCAGAATGAGTAACTTTTATTCGCCAGGTCAGAGTGAAACTATTGTGATATATGGGAGGGAATGACAAGCGGTGGCTAGCTATGTGTGTTGAATAGCGAAAGTTATCATTCTAGCCTATACTACAATACATCTCTCTAGAAGCCAACATTTCTGTTTATATCACCCATGCTCCAGTCGCACCACTTGCCATCGGTTTGAGGTGGGAGGAGAGCAAATTGTGTGGGTGCCTTGCCAAGTGGCGTCCATTTTTAGTCAATTTCCAGAGGTCTTCAATCCACCACATGGCGGCGCTATTACTCTGCGCCAGAATTGTGACTTCTATAGGAGAAGGTCAGAGGCTGTAGATTCTGTTCTTCAGCCACTTAGGAGGGAAGGCTCTCTGACCGTCTTGAAAGGATGGAGAAATGAGGTGAGAGGGAATGTTTACTACAATATACTCTTGAGAATTCAACCAAACTCCGAAATTTGACATTTCTACATTTGTGTCTTTTCTATAGAATTATGAAGTAATGCCCAGAGTCTGCGACACTCCACTACTGTGTATGGAGAGATCTGCGACACTCCACTAATGTGTATGGAGAGATCGGCCACAAGTAAGTCCTGTCCTAAGCAATAACAATAGAAAACAATCCCAGTGTTTCCCTTGCCATTGCATGCCCCATAAACATTGTCTTTGTATGCCTTTTTGGAGTGAAACTGTATGGAGTCCATATTAATGGGTACTGTCAGGATGAAAATGGGGAACTCAGGATGTGGGTGGGATGACGATCCATGACCAAGCAGACCTACCCTGGAAAACTGGACAACCTGGTCAGCACTTGTTGATTTTATATTTTACATATTTTCAGTGAATGGCAAACTGTGGTTTGATAATGCTCTTCCACCATGTTTTCAGGCAGCTGGGGGTCTAGTAGCAGGTATCATTGTGAAAAACGATCAAGGAATGTGAGCAGGAGGCCTGCATCCCAGCAGACATAGCAGAGACTGCATGCCCCGTGAGCACAGTGAGTTGATTGATGTCTCAACAGGAGTGGGGGCGGCAGGTAATTTAGTGGTTAAGAGCGTTGTGCCAGTAACCGAAAGGTTGCTGGTTCTAATCCCCGAGCCGACTAGGTGAAAAATCTGTTGATGTGCCCACTTAAACCTAATTGCTCATGTAAGTCGCTCTGGATAAGAGCGTCTGCTAAATGACTAAAATGTAAATGTAAAATAAGTGGGCAGCACTCTGCAGTGTCTCATTGAGAATGCTGTCTCTTTGCATGCTTTTACGTAGGCCTACATTCTCATCCACAGTATTTCAATATCCCCTGTGTCTTCTCTCATAGCTCTACATATGAGGATGAGGAGGGGGTGTTTCCAGAAAGCCAGTTTGTGTTCGACTTGGCCGCTACCTCCCGAGTTCAAGCTTAGGATAGGGGATGGGGAGGTACAAGATTTCTACCTCTACTCCATGGACAAGGTCAACCACTCTACTTTTGAGCACCTCCAGTCCTGCATGATAGTTCTTATGTCTGGCCCATGAAGAAGGAATTCAAGTAGGCCTACAATGTGTTGTTTTCAGGTGAAAGAAGTGCTGGTCAGTGACGACTTCAAGCCCAACTGTGCCATGGTGGTCCTAGACTTCCTCATCAGACACTCCTACATACAACCCGACACAGGTTTGTATCAGTACATAAATGACACAGGAGAACATACACTGAACAAAAATATAAATGCGACATGTAAAGCGTTTGTCCCATGTTTCATGATCTGAAATAAAAGATCCCTGAAATTTTCCATATGCACAAAGCTGATTTCTTTCAAATGTTGCGCACAAGTGTGTTTACATCCCTGTTAGTGAATATTTCACCTTTGTTGGGGACAATAAAAGGCCACTCTAAAATGTGCAGTTTTGTCACACTACACAATGCCACAGATGTCTCAAGTTTTTAGGGAGCGTGCAGTTGGCATGCTGACTGCAGGAATGTCCACCAGAGCGCTTACCAGATCATTTCATGTTAATTTCTCAACCCTACGCCGCCTCCAACGTTGTTTTAGAGAATTTGACAGTACATCCAACCAACCGGCCTCACAAATGTGTCGTGTGGGCGGGCAGTTTGCTGATGTCAACATTGTGTAAACAATTCCTGGAAGGTGAAAATGTCCCAGTTCTTCCATGGCCTGCATACTCAGACATGTCACCCATTGAGCACGTTTGGGATGCTCTGGATCGAAGTCTATGACAGTGTTTCAGCTCCCGCCAATATCCAGCAACTTCGCACAGCCATTAAAGAGGAGTGCGACAACATTCCACAGGCCACAATCAACAGCCTGATCAACTATATGCGAAGGAGATGTGTCACGCTGCATGAGGCAAATGGTCACACCAGATACTGGCTGATTTTCTGATCCACGCCCCTACCTTCTTTTTTAAAGGTATCTGTGACCAACAGATGCATATCAGTATTCCCAGTCATGTGAAATCCATAGATTGGGGCCTAATGAATTTATTTCAATTGACTGATTTCCTTATTTGAACTGTTACTCAGTAAAGTCTTTGAAATTGTTGCATGTTGCATTCATATTTTTGTTCAGTATAGTTCTAAAGATTATTAACAGTAGTGCAATTGTAAATTCTTTAAACACCAAGAAGAACAGCAGAAGATTCAAGACAAATCTGACTCATCTTTTTTTCAGAGCACTATTAAAAGGAGTTTGTTACTGGACTACACCACACTTTGTAAATACTGAAGTGAAAACTATGGAACAGTAACGTGATGAAGGATGGTCAGGAGACCCACTCCTTTTCTAGATGCCTTGATCTATTCTGTGAAATGTTTTGTAACTGAATCTTATAAATTCTATGCACATCATGTGATTGTGTTGAGGCATGAAACATGAATGAACGACACAACCAATTATTCCCTAAAACAATTTATTTTCTTAGAGTACATTTAAAAGGACTGAGGAAATGTGAGGATGCATTTGTATACAATACCCCTCCCCCCTCACAAATGACCAATATATTTTTTAAAGAAGTTACTTGCATTTAATAGTTTGACATCTTGTCATTCTTATTCATTAATTACTTTTCAAGCATTTTACCTTTTATTTTTAACCTTTCATTCTAAAGTTACTAGATTTGTTAAATATGCATAACTGGTACAGGATAAGCCATAAGCCATCATCAACAGTTGTTAGAAAGACATGGAGTGAGGAGTGGACTGGAGGGAGTGAGAAATAGGTCAACATTAAAAACTCACTCCCAATAACAGCCTGTCATGCAGGCAAAAACAATCTGCAAGCGGAAAATACCAAATTTGCTGAACTTAATATCACTTAATATAAAAGTCATACTCCCCTTTCAAACCAGTGTCTGACAGTCCACATCAAATGTATATATTTATCGGACTTTAGCCCAACTTATGACAAAACCAAATTCTAAAATAATTGTTCATTACAATTCATGAACAGGCTTATAAAACTAACAAAAATCAGTTTATCATTATTATTGTATGCATTTTAATATGAATTCTATAGTCAAAGTCAAATAAAAATATTTAGCTATTTAAATAAATCAAAATTGCTTGTATCAAGTGAACTATATGATTGATAGAACTAAATGATATCATAGAAGGAGGTGCTGGTCCATGCAAGGATAGGGTTAGTCTATCCATAGGGAGAACAAAGAAAATAAACACCTATGGTATGGCTGGACAGAAATGAAAGACAAGCGCAGACAGACACACTGCAAGCCAATGAGGTCAAAGAGAGTCAGGAGAACATACATCCATTCTGATGTAATGAATCACCCTTTTTCTCTGATGATGCTCCGCTCTATGAACCAGGGCAATAGCGCTGGGGTTTATGACCCGATCAAGAACACCAATCTTATCCCTTCCCTCAGAGATCACCACCACGCTCAGACATAAGTTTACCAGAGAGATATTGTGTTTTTTGCTTTACCCTTCTAGTCATCCAAGACCGAATAAAAAATCTTATACTGAAAGCCGATTGGCGATCACCTTGGCCTTAAAAATGTAAACTCCCCTTTTCGTTACATTTGACCTTCTTCTCCATTCCTCCTTGTTTAATTATCTTTTTCTCCCTTGCCCACCTCGAACCTCCCCCACCCTTCCACAGAGGGAGACAGAGGGGTGCAGCGTTTTCCTTGGCCTGATTGGTTTTCCCCTCCCCTCCTTCCCCAGCTCTCTATAGCAGGAGGCAGGCATTCTTCTTGCCGCGTTTCTTGGCCTGCAGCGCCGCCCTGGTGGCCATCTCAAACACCTCCCTCACACCATCTTTCGTCTTGGCCGAGCACTCCAAGTAACCAAACGCGTTGATGCGGTTAGCCATGTCCCGGCCCTCCTCTGGCTTCACTGGTTCCTGTTCATGTGTCAGAGGTGGAAACGTTTTCAGAGGCATTCTATGGTTGGCATCCTTTGTGACATACTAAACCACCAATCATTACAACAAGCCAAACAAAAACGTAACTAGCATGTTGGATAAACCAACTGAACAAAACAAAAACCTCTGAACCTGTGTATAATTAGACAACCGCAAACAGTACATGAAGTGAAGGTAGCTTATAAGGCAACACAACCACGTTAAAACAAATGTCCATGGTTTGTTCAATTTCAATGTTCAATTAAAAAATATATCCTCAATGGATCAGGGCAATGAGTCTACTTGATAAAATTCCATAATAAGATTTCATAATGCATACTGTACCTGCTTCATTTTTGCTAACTCCCGACGTGTGTGCTCGTCATTCCGCAAGTCCTTCTTATTACCCACAAGAATGATGGGCACATTTGGACAGAAGTGCTTTACTTCAGGGGTCCACTTCTCTGGGATATTCTCTGTTTCAGACACAGGGGATCATTTTAGGAAACTGCTGCAAGTGATACGATCATTTGTTGCATTTACCATGTAAGACATATATGAACATTATAGTCACCAATGTCTTACCCAAGCTGTCAGGGCTATCTATGGAAAAGCACATGAGGATGACATCAGTGTCGGGGTAGGAGAGAGGCCTTAGTCTGTCGTAGTCCTCCTGTCCGGCTGTGTCCCAGAGGGCCAGTTCCACCTAGAACCCACACGGAGAGCAGATATTCACAGTTACACTGCTGTTTGGCCAAACACTGCAATTTGCTCTGAATAAATGATTACCTATCAAAATGTGCAAACCATAAGACTTCCACATATAAATTGTGCTTCAAAGTATGTCTTGATGGCAAACTGTGTGACTAACAGTACAATCTCACCTGCTTACTGTCCACCTCAATATCTGCCACATAGTTCTCAAACACTGTAGGTACGTAGACCTCAGGGAACTGGTCTTTACTGAAGACTATCAACAGACAGGTCTTCCCACAAGCGCCATCACCAACGATCACCAGTTTCTTACGGATCGCAGCCATCTGCAAGAAAATGTCTGTTAAAGTGCTAATCCAGCAAAAGTGACATTTTTTTGGAAAAACTATTTTGAGTTTCACAGTGATAATATAGCAACACAACCAAGCAAATCAATATTACAGAACAAAAATATAAAACGCAACATGTAAAGTGTTAGTCCCATGTAAAGCTTATTTCTCTCAAATGTTATGCACAAATTGGTTTACATCCCTGTTAGTAAGCATTTCTCCTTTGCCAATATAATCCATCCACCTGACCGGTGTAGCATATCAAGAAGCTGATTAAACAGCATGATCGTGACACAGGTGCATATTGTGCTGGGCACAAGGTGCAATGCACAACGCCACAGATGTCTCAAGTTTAGATGGAGCGTGCAAAAAAAAAACTCATTCTTATTGGCTGGGCCTGGCTCCCAAGTAGGTGGGCCTCCAGGCCCACCCATGGCTGCGCCCCTGCCCAGTCATGTGAAATCCATAGATTAGGGCCTAATTTATTTATTTCGTTCTATGAACTGTAACTCAGTAAAATCTTTGAAATTGTTGCGTTTATATTTTTGTTCAATATAAATAAAAAAATAAATAAAAATATATATATAATAATATAATATGCCATTTAGCAGACGCTTTTATCCAAAGTGACTTACAGTCATGCGTGCATACATTTTTGTGTATGGGTGGTCCCGGGGATCGAACCCACTACCATGGCGTTACAAGCGCCGTGCTCTACCAGTTGAGCTACAGAGGACCACACATATATATATATATATACATACATACACACACACACACACACACACATATATATATATATACATATATATACACACACACATACAGTCATAGTCAAAAGTTTTGAGAATGACAAGTATTGGTCTTCACAAAGTTCGCTGCTTCAGTGTTATGAGATATTTTTGTCAGATGTTACTATGGTATACTGAAGTATAATTACAAGCATTCCATAAGTGTCAAAGGCTTTTATTGACAATTACATTTAGTTTATGCAAAGAGTCAATATTTGCAGTGTTTACCCTTCTTTTTCAAGACCTCTGCAATCTGCCCTGACATGCTGTCTAACTTCTGGGCCACATCCTGACTGATGGCAACCCATTCTTGCATAATCAATGCTTGGAGTTTGTCAGAATTTGTGGGTTTTTGTTTGTCCACCCGCCTCTTGAGGATCCACCACAAGTTCTCAATGGGATTAAGGTCTGGGGAGTTTCCTGGCCATGGACACAACATTTCGATGTTTTGTTCCCCGAGCCACTTAGTTATCACTTTTGCCTTATGGCAAGGTGCTCCATCATGCTGGAAAAGGCATTGGTCGTCACCAAACTGTTCTTGGATGGTTGGGAGAAGTTGCTCTCGGAGGATGTGTTGGTACCATTCTTTATTCATGGCGGTGTCTTAGGCAAAATTGTGAGTGAGCCCACTCCCTTGGCTGAGAAGCAACCCCACACATGAATGGTCTCAGGATGCTTTACTGTTGGCATGACACAGGACTGATGGTAGCGCTCACCTTGTCTTCTCCGGACAAGGTATTTTCCGAATGCCCCAAACAATCGGAAAGGGGATTCATCACAGAAAATGACTACCCCAGTCCTCAGCAGTCCAATCCCTGTACCTTTTGCAGAATATCAGTCTGTCCCTGATGTTTTTCCTAAAGAGAAGTGGCTTCCTCGCTGCCCTTCTTGACGCCAGGCCATCCTCCAAAAGTCTTTGCCTCACTGTGCGTGCAGATGCACTCACACCTGCCTGCTGCCATTCCTGAGCAAGCTCTGCACTGGTGGTGCCCCGATCCCACAGCTGAATCAACTTTAGGAGACGGTCCTGGCGCTTGCTGGACTTTCTTGGGCGCCCTGACGCCTTCTTCACAACAATTGAACCTCTCTCCTTGTGGTGGTGTAAAGCTCCCGGCCATTGGACTCTGGAGCAATGGAAAGGCGTTCTCTGGAGTGATGAATCACGCTTCACCATCTGGCAGTCCGATGGATGAATCTGGGTTTGGCAGATGCCAGCAAAACGCTACCTGCCCTAATGCATAGTGCCAACTGTAAAATTTGGTGGAGGAGGAATAAATGGTCTGGGGCTGTTTTTCACAGTTCGGGCTAGGCCCCTTAGTTCCAGTGAAGGGAAATCTTAACGCTACAGCATACAATGACATTCTAGACAATTCTGTGCTTCCAACTTTGTGGCAAAAGTTTGTGGAAGGCCCTTTCCTGTTTCAGCATGACAATGCCCCCGTGCACAAAGTGAGGTCCATACAGAAATGGTTTGTCGAAATTAGTGTGGAAGAACTCGACTGACCTACACAGAGCCCTGACCTCAAACCCATTGAACACCTCTGGGATTAATTGGAACGCCAACTGCGAGCCAGGCCTAAATCGCCCAACCTCACTAATGCTCTTGTGGCTGAATGAATGCAAGTCCCCACAGCAATGTTCCAACATCTTGTGGAAAGCCTTCCTAGAAGAGTGGAGGCTGTTATAGCAGCAAAGGGGGGATCAACTCCATATTAACACCCATGATTTTGGAATGAGATGTTCGACGAGCATTCCCACTTTGGCCCCAAAGGACACATGAAAGCCAGCCATCAACTTCAGCTCCAGTGACTACAGACTGTGTAAGGCTACAGAATATGTACATCTGAAACATTTAGCTTAGTCCTCCTGGACTAAGAACATCCAATGGAGAATTTCCATTGCCCATAGACCCTTCGCTCCAGGAGTCCTGTACACATTGGGCTCCCGTCGCTGAAGGCTACATCCCATATCCCCGAAAACATATTTACCAGGCCTCTGGGTTTACCTATTTCCTTTTAAAAAATCCAGTCACCGAAGTAAAATCTATAAGCCGAAATGCCTTACCAGTCAGTACAGGTTATACAATGTGTTAACTACTTCGGTAAAATAATGTTTAAATCCTCATTTTCCGAAGCTCACTGCCTAGTCCCTTTAGTCCGTAATAGTTGCTATGCGAGATCCCAGCGCACCTTTAGGGAAATATGGAATTAATTTGGTAAACTCTGGAAAAGTTGGATATAAACGTTTTTTTCACACATTGTATAACCCATACCGACTTGTAAGGCATTCCGAATTAGACTATAGATTTGCCTTCGGTGACGGGAAATTCCTAGGAAATAGGTCAAATAGAGGGCTGGTAAATATGTTTTCGGGGATACGGGCTGTAGCCTTCAGCGATGGGAGCCCAATGTGTACAAGTCTCCTGGAGCAAAGAGGCTACATTGCCTCTACGAATCCCAGTATAAACTTCCACTCATCTCTAACATTTAGATAAAAAACTAAACAAATAGTCCCTTTACAAGTCAGAATGTTGAATAAACTTAATTTGAATATACTCTACCCGTTGTCCGCTGATTTCGTCCCTCTGCCTTAGGAAATTTGACACATTCAAATCTTCACATTAAATTATTATTAAACCGACATCAAAACACGGGTCTGGATTTGTTTGCTCTTCACCTGAAGCATGCGCACAATGCGGAAGGACATGCCCACAATATCCCTGTGGATATTTTTTCTCAAAATCCTATCTGCAAAAGGACAAACCACACAGACAACCGGTAGAGTAAGTTAAAATTAAATTGTATTCAACATTCTGGCATGTAGAACTCATGAGGACATTTTCCAAACAAATGTATTGCATTAATCCCAGACTGTGTAACCAGGGGTATCACAGTCTGATTCATTAGGCAACATTGCGCAGTGCTTTTCAATCCATTAGTGTTGGAGGCCTGTAAACCCAAACGTTTATGATAACCAAACTTGTAAAAATATATTTTTTTAAATAACCAAACTTTGATTCATTATTTCGTAAATAACCAATATTCAAATTCAGATAAAAATGCAAATACATGCCATGTCAGCTATCTTTCTAGGCCTAACTACTGAATTTCAGGTAAATACATGTATGGACATTTTTGTTCCATGTTCACATGAAATTACCCATAATACCTCAAAACAGTGACACTATCGCCACTAAACAAGAGCAGACTACCAGCAGAAAACACTGCTTGCCATCCAGCTAGCCGTTGGATGAATGGCCTCAACAACAACACGCCGCACCCAAACTAATAACTAGTTAATTTCCTCATTTACTTCACGTCAACTCAGTAAGTGTTAGCTAGTTACAATGATTTTCCTATTTAAAAACGCCCATATGTAACATATGCTGTGTCGGTGGACGACGGTTACGAAAATTAAACCACTTGTCAGCGGTGGCTAGCGAGTTAGCGTAGAGATCTTGCCCAGGGCATGCACTAGTGCGAATAGTTGCTAGCTCCCAGACCAGAGTGTGTTGCTAACTTCAAAAGGGTGATGATGTCACTGTATACCTGGCTATGATGACCTGATAACTTTGCCTGTCCAGCTCTAACTGGTGGTGTCTGAAACAAGGAGTCTTTTCATTTCAATTGTTCGTTCGTTTCCGTCATTAAGGCTAGCTAATTTAGCTATCTAATGTTAGCTGATAGCGGTCTCTCGTAATACTCTAGCCTCATGTCATCTTGGCTACAGAAAACGTTTAAAGCCTCATTCAAATATTTACTTAATAAATTATCTATTTTCAAGGTGAACAATAACAAAGTTATAAATAGGTTACATTTCCTCGTTTAAGTACCGTTTTCGTTACAGATGTCCTCGCCTTCCTTCTCTTTTCCTGTCCGACCCTTCAACCCCGCCCCCAACAGTGTGCCACGCCGATAACATCCGCCTAAGCCCATGATCTCGATCTAATAGGAAGCCTCAAATTAATGAGTGACAGATATTTAAGCCAACAACTCGATACATGTATACCGGTGCATGGGAAAAACGGAAGTGAAGAGTGGATCTTTCTTCCCCCAACCCTATGCCATGGTTTCAACAATAAGGAAATATTTTTTGGGGTCAAACCCAAAAAAATTGTATACAGCAGTAAATCAATAATAGGCGTTGTGATTGTAATTTAAACGTTATTGCTTGCTTGCTTATGCTCTGTAGAGACATCATCATTAAGAGCAGTGGCAGTATTATGGTTGAAATAGGGATAGAGATGTATCTCATGCTAATTGAAAAGCCTTCAACATTGTACACGCATGCCAGATCTTACAACGCCTGGATAGGTATTGAACAAATCAGCTAACCACATGGTCGTGTTCCCCTGTTCAGAATTTGCACGCATCAACCAATGGTTGCGTGTCACGTCATCGACTGTGCCATCGGGCACCAGATTGCTATAACATATGTGGTTAGCTGATATGTAAAATACCTATCCAGGCATTGTAAGATCTGGCATGCATCAGCAACGTCTGAGCAGGGGAACATGACCATAGCTATCTGACGACTGCACAGTCGATGACGTAGAACACAACCATTGGTTGATGCAATGCAACACCTGGACATCTAGTTGGGCAGAAACTCGACCAATGGGATGCCTTGACCCCAATCTCCCTAACGGGTAGAGAACTCTTGCGCTGCGTCATATGACCAACCTCTTTCAAACGGTCTATTATATGAGACGATTTTATCCAAAGTGATTTAGTCATGCGTGCATATATTTAAATAGTATCGTAACACAATCTTTACAAATTCCAATGGCTTTCTCTTAATCTACTAAATGTTAAATCAGCCACATGAAAATATGTTGTGGACTGGATTTGGCACCCGGTCACCTATTTGAGAATCAGGGGCTGAACTTTGACGTTTTATGAAACGTTTCATAATAGAGCTTAACTGAAGCCTATTCCTGAACGTATTGGGATAAGGTACTGTGGACAAATTGAGCACCCTTGAAGACTGACAATCAAGTTTTATACAGAATGCTGCAGCGTGGACATACTGCTGGAGCAGAAGTCAGGACAGCTTTGATTAATCAGACTGTTACCTGCATTATCTTTCTTAGTTACCGGTAGGTACTTAAAGCCGTATTTTTTCTTTCAGAATGGTCATTAGACCAAATTCAAGTTTGTCAATAACCAGCACATTGCTGACTACTGTGTGCACTAGTGCATCCATGCCATCACTCAGTGTTGTCAATGTATTCCTGGAGATGGTGTCTGCTACTTTAATATTATTTGCGGGTGGTGCATGATGACAATGGAGATGTGGCGGCATGGCCCGGGGCAGCTACAAGGGGCTCGCAGAGCACTGACTCCAGTAGTTTGACTATCGTACTATTTCATGATCACCGATAGTCACAGTTGCTACCAAGGGCTATTCAGTTTGATCACTGACCACAAAAGAATGATCAATAGTGTGGTATACATTTTTTATTACATTATACTGATGAGAAATAAACAGTCAAAGAGAAAAACATTTTCAGTGAACAGCTCCTTATAGTACATCCTACTCCTCTCCGGCTCCTGGTAGCACAATCTTGCTTGGGTCATAGTAGTTCTCCTCCATAAGAGGAAGACCTGCAGCCTCTCTCTGTGTGATCAACCTTTCTGCTTCCCTCCTGGCCCACTGCCTCATACTGGTTAGAAAAAGACAGGTCAAAAAGACTAATGATCAATGATTGTGTTTGTGATGATCAATTCAATCAAGCACATAAGAGGTGTTTGTGTGTGTGTCTTGGATACTTGTTTAGAGGTGCAGACAACAGTAACAATAGCGGAGGTGCATAAAAATGTTGGCCCCCACGCATGTACCACAAATGCCTTGTTGGCTAAGTTCGCCGTAGTGTACATTGATCTCCGTTACCATTTTTTTTTTTATTGTCATTAGCACAGTATACATTATCACCATTTTAGCTCCAAGATGCCGTCAATTTTAAAAAACGAAAAAGTAGATTGTGCTGATTTATCAGTGTATTGAACCATGTCACGCGCCATTGTTTAAAAACTCAGTACATAGTGCTAAAACAATGACGTCATATCTGAATTCCGATATCTATATGCACCTTTGTCATTTTTGGAGTCCAGAAACACAGCATTGACTTGTGCAAGTGGAATCGACTGGTCTACTATCCATAGTTCCATCAGTCCATTGTAATACAGCTTATTGTCCCGTGTAGCTCAGCTGGTAGCGCATGGTCTTGCAACGGCAGGGTTGTGGGTTCGATTCCCATGGGGGACCAGTAAGAAAAAAGTATGCACTCACTACTGTAAGTCGCTCTGGATAAGTCGTGTGGGCGAGTGGTTTGCTGATGTCAACGTTGTGAACAGAGTGCCTCATGGTGGCGGTGGGGTTATGGTATGGGCAGGCATAAGCTTCGGACAACGAACACAATTGCATTTTATCAATGGCAATTTGAATCCACAGAGATACCGTGACGAGATCCTGGCCCATTGTTGTGCCATTCATCTGCCGCCATCATGTTTCAGCATGATAATGCACGGCCCCATGACTCAAGGATCTGCACACAATTCCTGGAAGCTGAAAATGTCCCAGTTCTTCCATAGCCTGCATACTCACCAGAAATGTCACCCATTGAGCATCTTTGGGATGCTCTGGACAGCGTGTTCCAGTTCCCACCAATATCTAGCAACTTCACACAGCCATTGAAGAGGAGTGAGACAACATTCCACAGGCCACAATCAACTCTATGCAAAGGAAATGTGTTGCACTGCATGAGGCAAATGGTGATCACAACAGATACCGACTGGTTTTATGATCCACGCCCCTACCTTTTTTTCAAAAGGTACATATCTGTGACCAACAGATGCATATCTTTATTCCCAGTCATGTGAATTACATAGATTAGGGCCTAATGAATTTATTTCAATTGACTGATTTCCTTATATGAACTGTATCTCAGTAAAATCTTTGAAATTGTTGTATGTTGCATTTATATTTTTGTTCAGTGTACTTTGCAGTAAGGCAACGCCTAGATCGGCCCTTGTGGGTAGGCCTATTTCTCCCAAACAGCATTTAAAACAGCATGGTGTCAAAGCTATCATGTAGCTCGGTTTTTCAGTTGTCACTTACTCTTTGTGCACCTGTTCCAGCAAGTGATGAAGAGCAAGCCACAGCAAGTAACAAAGAGGGATGTGCAGTGTGCTTAAACATACCCATGGTCTGGCAAGTAGTGGATGAAGGTACCCCCAACCACAATCGCCATAGAGATGCCAAAGAAGAAGGCCATCCTCATGTTCCACTCGTCAACGACAGGATCTTGAGAGAACCCATGATAATCTCGATTCTGTAGAGATTGAGCGATTTATTATGGTTTCATGATACACTGGATTGTAAACAATGTGTTAACGTTAGCTAGCTAGTGTTAGCTACCTCGGAGTGCAGATAGCAATGTATTTAGCCACTATGTTTGACTGAAGGAATGTGTATCGTTATGTCAAAAACTACATTGAATGTGAAAAATATTGTAAATAATACCAGATATGAGCTGGCTAGCTAGCGACGGGTATTTCAGTTTCGATTCAGAACCAACTCACCTTCTCGAACGCGCTGACCTCTGCGTGTCCATGACTTTCCTTGGCATGCGAGGGCTGCAAATCCGACACAGTGGCCGAACCAGCAGCACCCGAGGGTGGAGATTGCGATACGAACCGAATCCCACACGCTGGATTTGTGCGAAAACGGGTCAAGGCAGGCCCAACGCGTGACAACCGGGCAAGCATTTTGTCAGGGCAACACTGTCGACTCGGCACCGGAATTGTTTCGCCTTTTCTTCTTCAGCTTGTAGGACAGCAGCAGATAATTTCAAGATAGGTTATTGATCGCCACCTACTGGACGGGGTGTCAGTGGCTCTTCACCTACCACGAGCACAGCCTATTGGAAATAATGAGAAAAGAGTTGCAAAAATATATTTGTTATGAGGTGCAATGTTTGTTGAGCAAATATTGATTCAAATTCAAGGTTTCACAGAAGAAGAAAAAACGTCCACCCTTGCTTACACGCACTTGTCTTTTCTTACTAGCACTGACTGCTGATAGCGGCCTTGAAACGTTTTACTTAATATGACTATGATATGTGATTGTCTAAACTAGCTACCTTTAGATGATCTGTAAATCGCTCAGGATAAGAGCGTCTGCTAAATGACAATAAAAAATAATCATATGTCAAACGTAATCAGGTTATGTACTTTTATTGGGTAAATTGCCAAAATTGCATCATATATTTCCAAATTGCTTCATACAGTGATTAGAATGACTGTCTTCAAAATGTATGGTAATCAGGCATCCAAAATCTTAAACTGTATCTCTAACACGCTACCTGTCGCTTTTATACTATTTGATTACATATTCTTCATTTCACTTTCATCTTCTTTTATATTGCCAAAAGTCTAAGTCTTCTAGGTTTAGACATAGCTAGCTAGTGCATTTGGCATTTTGTGCAACACTGTACAACAATTGCGTAACAATGCTGCAAAAAGGTCAAGAGGTTCAGGGGGAGGTATGAGTTTATTAACCTTACGGGAATGGGATGCATGCCTTTCCTATTTGTATCCAAATTCCAATAAAGTGAAACATAAGCCAGAGAGGAAGAGGCGAAGGGAGAGGGCCCACTCCCATCATAATCGGTCCACGCGGAAATACAGCAATAAGTAGACCAATAATAGACAGACTGATAAGCAGAGCAGATCACCTGCTTTCCCGCCTTTGGGACAACGACTCCCATTGTTAGGGTAGAGACAATACCATCTCGTCTTTATATACAGTATCTCTGGAGAAGCCTGCTAGTGAGAGTGGACAGAGAGCTAGAGTAAGAAGTACTAGGCATAGACAGACAGAGAAATGGTCCAGTTGTTGTGGACTTTATTGGTTTTGCTGATCATCTTCAGGGAATCAGGTCAGTGACTTTATTATTGTTGTTTAAAAATAAGTCTATTTTGAACCTCATAGCAACAGTAAACTAAATGTTATATTTTAATATATTGATTTGTGAACACAACACTTCACTATTATGCTAGACACATCACGTTACTTTTGAATAATATGGTGCTAGATTTATTTGTTGAAGCAGTGACTAGAACAATCTATATGTTTTCAGTATCACAGGAGGTGAAATGTTACAGCAGGTTTGATAATGGGGATTGTGACTATCTCCTGGGAGAAGTGACGATGGAAGACTGTTGTCTTAACCCTCACTATGGCTACATTGGAGCAGATGGAAAATGCAAGTTTTGTGGGTGAGTCTCAATTAGTTTCAGATTTGGACGTCCAATGTCCCAGTGCAGGATGTGATATGTTGCGTTTTATGTCACCTGTAGGCCAGCTTCGTGGTCTGAATGGACTACTTGGGGCAACTGCTCTGTCCCCTGTAACGAGGGAGTTTCGCAGAGACGACGAGAATGCCAGGGACAGGGAAAATGTACTCAGGAGACTACCCCTAGACAGCTTCGCAAACTCACGTTAGAGACCAAAGTCTGCATTGAGCCAGACTGTTGTCCAGGTACAGACCCTTTCTAACAGTCAGGGAACATAAATTCAATCATATCTGAAGTCAAGGTATTTTGTGCCTCTTTTGATGATCTTGCTGAAAATTGTTCAGAACAGGGACAATGGAGCAAGTGGGCTGAGTGGCAGCCCTGCTCAGTGACTTGTGAGAAGGGCTTGAGAAAGAGAGTGAGGACATGCACCGAACCACCACCTAGATGTGGAGGCAGCTGTGACGGTCCAAGTGAAGAAGAGGAACCCTGCGTGGTTGATCGTGTCTGTCCAAGTAAAGACCATCATGATTTAGACAATACTCTCTATTCCTTCACATAATGCAATAATCATCTCCATACATTATACAAGTTTTACATGTTTTTTTCACCATTCATCTCCTATTTCGACTGTAGCCAATGGTGGTTGGTCAAACTGGGAGAGTTGGCAGCCATGCTCAGGCACTTGTGCAAGGGAGGATTTACCCAGACCTACACAGCGGCGCTCTAGATCATGCTCCAATCCACCACCGTCCTCAGTGCCCCCTGGTGATGAATGCCCTGGGTTAGGGAGCGAATCTAGGACCTGTGATGAGCTTCCTTCATGTCCTGGTAAATGGCATGGCCAAGCAATCAAATTTTCCTCTGAGGTTCTGACTGATATCCTAAAGCTATTGCTTGTATTCATACACATAATGTAGCAATAACATGTACTCATAGTGTATGTAAAACAAACCTCCCTCTTTATCCTCAACAGTAAATGGTAACTGGGGGCTGTGGGGGCCCCCCAGCTCCTGCTCCGTTACCTGTGGGGTGGGGGTTAATGAAATGCTCAGACAGTGTAACAACCCAGCCCCTAAACATGGAGGGCTGCCCTGCTCTGGATCCAATAAAGACACAAAAGTCTGCAATACCAAAAACCAGTGCCCAGGTAAAATATTGACAGCCGGAGAATAACCCATTCCCTCTGCCCATTTCATCAGTTATTAACCTCTGAGCAAATGTTGTTTTTAGTGGATGAGTCATTTGATCAAACTTAGCCTCACTTGAGAGGATTGTAGCTTTCACACAGCTGAGGTCAGATGTTTATATTTTTGTCACTGTAATTATAATAATATTACATACTTTTACAGTAATACTATTACTGTTATGATATGGGGGGTAGTTTAGTGTTAGCACGTAGATAGACAGCACACTTCCACACCTCATCCCTAGGTGACAGCAGTAACCGGGTCCAAGTGCTGTGCCAGGCCTTGATAAGCACACAGGTACGGCCTGCCAGTGTTTGTTTTGCGTTACATCTTTAGTTTTGTATTTTTGTACATTCCTTTTCTATATATTTATTTTCGTCACCATGACCTGAACAAATGATAATCCCCTTGGGCTGGCCAACCAAGAGTTCAAGACGGAGCTGTCCCTGGACCGAGTTAAGGTTGCTGTCCCCTGGGGGCACATACATACAACATGGTCTGCATACTCTGACTTTTCACATAAATGCACACATTAAATCAGGTTATAGACCATTTAGCTAGGCTTAGGACTCCTAGACATAGCGAGTGTATCAATATCTGTAGGCTAGCTAGTTGGTTTCGTAACACTGTATATGGTATTCAGTAGTGAAACCATTGCATCCTTCAAGTCCTCCTAAGAACTGAAATACTTCCCATGGGGATAATAGTTATTTCTTTGTTCCACAGTGGATGGTCAGTGGTCGCAGTGGGGGAAATGGGAAGACTGTAAATCTAATAGAGGAAAAATTACCTGTCGAAAAATCGGTGGACAGCAAAGACGCCAAAGATGGTGTAAACACACAGATTTTGGTGGGTTGACGTGTGAAGGAACGATCACAGACTACAGGCCCTGCTTTGACATTCAATATTGCGAATGTGAGTTAAACAAATGTTATCTTCCATTGATTGAGCTGTGTTATTTGTTTTGATGCCTCTTTCAACTTTAATTCAGTCCAACTGTTGCATGTTTTTGCAGTGATAGTTGAATAATACAAATCAGATTTCATAACCAGTAGGCTAAGAAGTCATGTTCCTCACATAATGCTTAACTTGTGTTTAGTTGATGGTAAGTGGGATGAATGGAGTGAGTGGAGTCATTGTGAGCCCCCCTGTGGAGAAGGAGCCAAAAGGACCAGAGAACGCAAGTGCATACCTGATCTGTCAGAATACCCGTAAGGAGACTGTATAGTATACTATTATTATACAATGATTAACCAAGTAATTTGTGTGTATCTACCCCTATGCCTCTCAATAAGTAGGCTACACACGATTTAGGCATTGCTTGGGCTCAGTGGCACATTCAATATTATCTGGTGCAGTGTGAAATCTGTGCACTCTGCTATTGTTTGGTGTGTCAGGTGTAAATTGGATGAATCTAACTCTTTATTTGCTATTTGTTTCCATGCCAGGGAGAAAATAGGGTATCCTGTTAAGTCTAAAGCATACTTTGAAGGGAGGCCAGATGTGAACTGCACACTGTTGAAGGACACAAAAGAGAGTCGGGCCTGTATAAATGTTCCTCCATGTGACACATAGGTAATACGTTATCATTAACAATGATTTCACAGTTGCAATATCAATTTTAAATAGCATTGGAGCTGACCAAAGTCCATCTCTAAATGTCTGACTTTTTTCCAGAGTCTTTTGATCAAAGCACAAGTCTGGAGGGGAATAAGCATTGTCAACTTAGAAAATGACACATTGAATTGATATGTCTAGCTATGTGATTTCACTGCCTTTGGTCACGTATGTCTATGCAGACTTCATGAAGCATTAGTAACACAAAGTAGTTTATTAGGACTACACTTTTCATAATAATGTAATTTCCTAAAGAAATAAAAAAACATTGTTCACTTCCTCACAAGGTATTGCTTTAGTCTATGAGGTCTTTTCATTTCAAATGCAGCATTGCATTAGCCGGAGTGATTATGGAAAACTTAATTAATGCATAACAAATTGGTGAAGTGTATAACTTTACGCATTTTACATTTTAGTCATTTAGCAGATGCTCTTATCCAGAGCGACTTACATGAGCAATTAGGTGCCTTGCTTAAGGGCACAGACAGATTTTTCACCTAGTCGGCTCGGGGATTAGAACCAGCGACCTTTCGGTTACTGGCACAACGCTCTTACCCACTAAGCTACCTGCCGCCCGTATTTTAGACCAATTATATATGAATATTACTATCCAAATCTAAAATGTAACAAATGTGCAATATTTGTGTAGCTAGACTGGTGTTATGAGCAATGCATTTAAATGGATTAGTGCAAATCAAATCAAATGTTATTTGTCACATGCGCTGAATACTACAGTGAAATGCTTACTTACAAGCCCTTAACCAACAATGCAGTTTTAAGAAAGGGTAGCCATTTGATTAGATGTTCAGGAGTCTTATGGCTTGGGGGTAGAAGCTTTTTAGAAGCCTCTTGGACCTCGACTTGGTGCTCCGGTACCGCTTGCCATACGGTAGCAGAGAGAACAGTCTATGACTAGGGTGGCTGGAGTCTTTCACAATTTTTAGGGCCTTCCTCTGACACCGCCTGGTATAGAGGTCCTGGATGGAAGGAAGCTTGGCCCCAGTGATGCAATGTGTAGTGCAGTGTATGTACACTCTCTGGTAGGTTTTTTATTTCGGCCAGCAACCCAAAGGTGTCGCATTGCTCCTATCAGGTATTGGTAGCGTGACCACATGTCCCATATTGTGCGTGAGAGTCCCGCATAATTTTGGCCCTTTGTCACGTATTTTATTAGCAATTTCAAACACCACTAATTTTGAAAAAATAGTTGATTTGTCCCGTATTTCAGTCAGACATTCCAAACTGTCTATTGCAGTCATGTTGTGGTACTGGTGATGTTTAACACTTCTCCAATCATTGTTGAGATCTGATATTCTGCGCAGCACAAGACGAGGTGTAGGCCATAGGTCATAGGCCTATCGTCAACCAATCACATTTCTCAAATCCTTTTGAGTTAAATTGTAGCTAAACTTGGAGAGGGCGGTTATAAAAAGTGTGCTTCTGACGAAGAGCTACACAAGTAAGTAAATAGCCATATTTGACTGAACGATATAAGGTAATTTCGTCAAACGTGTGAGGCTCTCCTTGCTCATTCAACATATTTGCTGCTACTTCACTCAATCCGGTTTTAAAAGTCACCCTTCCTGTTTTATATTCACTGAGACCAACCAGAAATGTGTCTTTCAGCAAATATTCCCAGATTTTCATAAAACAGCCACACCTGGTCTCTCTTTCAGCATCACCTAATTTTGCGCAAGGCAAAAGAGTAGACTATAGCCTACTAGGTGCGTGTCCTTCAGTGCAGCGGGAGCGTTGCTCCTCCACTTCTCAATAGAGTACCACAGTATGAGTCATAATACCCATAAAACCTAAAGGTCGAACAGGGAAATGGTTCCAATCGTTTTTCCACCATTCATTTTTTCCATATGGGGATTTTAGAAACACTTCAAATAAGGCCTGTGTTTCGTGTAGGCTTACCCTGGCGTGACGTTTTGATAACTGTGTAAATCTCTTTAGGACAAGGTCTTTTATCAATATATTTGCCTGTATTTACTCCCCCAAAATGAAATGCTAATTAGCTGCTAATGTGGCTATCATAAAGAACTACAAATGCCATGATGATTTGGACGAGACTGCCATATCGAGGCAAAGGTAAGAATCTCTGGATTAACTATCTAATGTTAGCTAAATATAGTAATGAATAAATAGGCAACATTTATTTAAATGGACAATTCTGTGACCTGTCTTGTGCAAGTTTTAAATTGACGCAATACCTGTTAGCAAAGGTGTCAGCTAGAGATGACGTGCAGGAGCTTGCAGGGATTTGTAGTTTTGCATGGTCTACTTTGATGCTAATTAGCATTTTAGAATCTGAGCGTAAATAGAGCTGAATATATTGATAAAAATTCACCTTGTCCGAGAGAGATTTACATGGTTATCAAAACGTCACACCAGGGTAAGCCTACATGAAACACAGCCCTTATTTTAAGTGTTTCTCAAATCCCCTATGGGAAAAATGAATGGTGGAAAAACGATTATTATGGGTATTATGACACCTCCACTGTGGAGCTCTATCGTGCTGGTTTAGTAAAGTTAGATCAAAGCTGAATCATTGTATTGTAAGATCACAAATAACCTGACTCCGCAGGTTATTATGATAGCAACTTATGCCTGGGAACGGTGGAGCGCCAAGGGGTGGGACTAACCCGTGCACCAACGGATTGGCTGAGTAAAGTCTAAACCACACTCAGTCCTTTACTCTGATTGGCCAACAGAAGAGGTGGGAACTCTCTGTCAGAGTATTTGAGAAATAACCTGTAAACAATGGATCAGTTCTCTGAGTGCCCTGCGTGGTATTTCAGTGGACCCGTATATACGAACCTTCATACTTATCATACATACATTTTGCATATAATAAATTAAGCTTGGATTGAAGATCTCTTGATTCTTATTCCAATACCAGATTTGAATTACGCAATTTCTAACAATTGGTGACCCCGACGTGATCATGGCCTGAGCCACCATGTCATCAATCAGACGATGCTCATACCAGATCCCCTTCTGCTCAAATTTAGAGCGGTACTGCTTCTCGTAGATCTCCTGGAAGATATCTTTGAAGCGTCCGTCGTACTTCTTGAGGATGGTGTTCTTGGTGCTGAGGTACAGAGGCCAGGCTTTTTGCAGCCCCATCTGGAAGGAGCTGTGGGCAAAGTCCCTGATCTTTGTTGCAGCCAGAGGATTTTAGGAACCAAAACCAGGCCCGTGCTGACATCTGATGGTTGTGTGGTGATAACTGATTGTGAACTCACCTACATACGCAAACAATCAAACGTGTCAGAGACTGGTGAGTTGTCACATAGAAAGTAGGACCTCCTCCCGGGATCCTTTGATTAAAGGATATATATATTGATGGGATAGGAGTACCTCGAGGGGTTCCAGAACAATTCAAAGCTAGGAATCAGATCGCAGCTGGGTTTGAATCAAGTATTTTCTGGTGATCAACAATTAATAAAAATGTAGATTGGATAAATTATATTTAATATAACCAGCAAAAGATTTATAAACCACACTCGTGATGCAATAAATGGATTAGCTGAGCAGACAGTGGCAACTATCTTAATGACATGGCAGAATAGAATAGCTTTAGATATGCTTTTGGCTGAGCGGGACGGGGTTTGTGTTCTGTTTGGATCTATGTGCTGTACTTTCATCCCCAAACAATACAGCACCGGAAGGGTCTGTGACCATCACCACGCTGGCGAACGAACTGACTGAGAACTCTGGTATTGATAGCTCCATCAACGGTTGGTTTGATAACATATTTGGTAAATGGAAAACTATTATTGTAACTATTCTGGGTGAAGTTATAGCTTCTATGGGTATACTTGTTATTTGTGGATGTTGTCTTATTCCCTGTGTCTGAGGGTTGGTGAGAAAAGGAGATGGAGAAGGTGGTTTCCAAACAGATGGTGAGATACGGCCCAATCCCGGACTCCGACCTAAGGAATGAAGGATATGACCTACCAGACTTGGAGGAGTGACACCCTATAGGGTGTCTAAAGGGGGCCAAAATGTACTTCCCTGTTTGTGTTTTATGCTTTATTAATCAAGCTAACCATTGTGAATGTTTGTCTTTCCTTATGTGAAGGTTTGAAGTTCCTGGGTGACTGGTAGCCAACCGTTTGCAAGTTGGGTGTAGATGGAAGGACTGAAGGCCTTTTATTATCAAATTGTCTATTAATAAAAGTGTTTATTTTTGTTTGTATTATATTTTAATGAGTGACAACCTAGAGGGTGTCAAAAGGGGGATTGTTGGGTTCTATTTTTCTCATAATTGGATCTGTATGTGATGAATAACTTAGAAGGAATGCATTAATGAGGAGCATAGGTTTGTACTATACTGATATAAATTGTTTCACATAACAGGCTGTGATTCATGTAAGGAACGTTAGGGGTAGGACAGATAAGATTTGTATTTCTTACAGATACGAACACTCTCTCTTTGTTGTCTGTGAAACCGTCCTTGAACGTGGGTACATGGAGTACAGATTGGAGGGGTGTCTTTTGGGTGCTGACTCCGCAGGTTATTATGATAGCAACTTATGCCTGGGAACGGTGGAGCGCCAAGGGGTGGGACTAACCCGTGCACCAACAGATTGGCTGAGTAAAGTCTAAACCACACTCAGTCCTTTACTCTGATTGGCCAACAGAAGAGGTGGGAACTCTCTGTCAGAGTATTTGAGAAATAACCTGTAAACAATGGATCAGTTCTCTGAGTGCCCTGCGTGGTATTTCAGTGGACCCGTATATACGAACCTTCATACTTATCATACATACATTTTGCATATAATAAATTAAGCTTGGATTGAAGATCTCTTGATTCTTATTCCAATACCAGATTTGAATTACGCAATTTCTAACACCGCCCTGGTGGACTAGCTAGCATGTCACCACCCGTGGGGTGTGGGGAAAGTCTGACTGCACGAATGATGAGCTAACATAACTAGCTAGCTAAACGTTAGCTAAATATCCCTGCTCTGGTGGGCTAATATTATCTAGCATGTCACCACGTGGAAAAGTGTGACTGCACAAACGGTGAGCTAACATTAACTAGCTGGCTAGCTAGCACACAAAGGAATTGTAGGCTCAATGTTTTCCCATACAAAACACAAACGGTTTTGTTCCACGAGTGCATCTGTTGTACATGACTAATCAAATGACCTGTGAAGTCAGTTATACATGTCAGCAGGGATGGAAATTAAATTAGCCAGAGGCTAGTACTTTTCAGACTGGGCTAGTAGACAATGTGCCAAACTAGCCTGACACAGCAGTGAAATGGCTAGTAGAAAATGTGCAAAACTAGCCCGAAACAGCAGTGAAATGTTGCCTCTACAAACATCGCATGCCACAGATTTAGGACCTGAATGTTACCTGGGCTAGTAGAAATCATGGTCTGCTGGCCAGTGCCCAAAATCCTTATGTTCCA